GCATTCCAAGTAAGGATCGGAGTCAGACAAGGCTGTCTACGCTCTCCCTTCCTCTTTCTTCAGGTGGTTGACTGGATTATGAAGACCCCAACATCTGAGGGAAAACACGGAATACAACGGACAGCTCAGAACCAATGAGACGATTTGGACTTCGCAGATGACCTGGTCCAAGTATCGCATGCACATAAACAGATGCAGATAAAACAGCCAGTGTAGAAGCAGTCTCTACATCAGTAGGCCTCAACATACACAAGGGGAAAACCAAGGTCCTCAAATTCAACACGGAAATCAGCAATCCAATCACTTGATGGCGAAACTCTGGAAGATGTAGAATCCTTCACATGCCTGGGAAGCATCATCGATGAACAAGGAGGATCAGACGCAGACGTAAAGGCGAGGATTGGCAAAGCAAGGGTCGCATTCCTACAATTGAAGAACATATGGAACTCAAAACAACTTTCAACCAATATCAAAGTGAGAATCTTCAATACGAATGTCAAGGCAGTTCTACTGTACGGAACTGAAACTTGGAGAACAGCTACAACCACCATCAAGAACGTACAAGTATTTATAAATAGCTGTCTACGCAAGATACTCAACACCCATTGGCTGGATACCATCAGCAACAGCCTTTTGTGGGAGAGAACAAACCAGCTTCCAGCTGAAAAGGAAATTAGGAAAAGACGATGGAAATGGATAGGACATACATTACGCAAATCATCAAACTGCATCACGAGGCAAGCCCTAACTTGGAATCCTGAAGGTAAGCGGAAAAGAGGAAGGCCAAAGAACACATTACGTCGGGAAACAGAAGCAGACATGAAAAAGATGAATAACAACTGGAGAGCTGGAGAGGATTGCCCAGGACAGGGTTGGATGGCGAATGCTGGTGAGCGGCCTATGCTCCTTCACGAGGAGTAACAGGCGTAAGGAAGTAAGTGGTCAACTAACCCTGGTAAGTTTGTTTACAAAGAAATGCTACAAAAAAACCACAATAACGAAAACATTCAAAGGGAAATCAAGTAATTGTCAGACAATTCCGAAAGAGTGGAAAATAGTTTATTTAGAAATTGTATAGGTTATTACAAAAAATATATTACGAAATATGAGATAACAGAATAACTCATAGACAAGTATAAAAGGAGGTGAAACCCAACTGGTTTGCATGTTAGTTTCGTTTTCAACATTTCCTTGCATTCAGTTTGTGTACTTCTAACTTTAGAGAATTGTTTTATTATTACATGTGTGAACATACTGAGTTATTACTTCAGATAATTCAGTTCTTTTCTATTTCCATTTACTTACTATTTAGGTGAATTATTCGTTAAATTCATAAGCTAACAAAAGTCTATTTACGACTAAATATTACAAAATTACCCATTTTACCGTCTTTCCTACTTATTTCATTTAAAAACAAAGTCGTATTTCGTCCCAAGAAAAACAAGTTTCAAATAATTTGGAAAACAAATATTTTAAGTAAATTGTAATAGTATAACTTCAAATTAAGCTACGGTTGGTCTGAAATAAGCACCACGGACGTTCTAGTAGTTTTAAGTGAAACTTTTACAGGAATATCGGAACATGCAGCTATCTTTTCTTTGTCATAGTCTTTCAAGAGCAATAATGAGTTTAGCATCTGTAATGATGGGTTGTATAATAAGTACAGCATAATAAGAATATCCAGAAGAAAGAAAAGGCTTCAAGATGAAAAATCAAGTATGAATGCGACTCCCTAACTTTTGGTATGAAAACCCGTCAAAAGAGAAACTAGTATGCAGGCGAACAATTGAAGTCAACCAATGTAGATCACTTACTTACGCCTGTTACTCCTCGTGAAGGAGCATTTACCGCCCACCAGCATTCTCAAACCAACTCTGTTCTGAGAAATCCTTTCCAGGTGCAATCCATTCTTTTGATATCTGCTTCCAACTCCCAACGCAATGTGTTCATTCATCTTCCTCTTTACCTTCTACCTTCAAAATTTCAAGTTGAGGCTTGCCTTGTGATGCAGTTTGATGGTAACCGCAATGTATTTGATGTGACACTGTGAATAATTCTATCCTTTAAGTAGTTAACTCCATTTTGAAACAGAAATGAATATCGTTGATGAGGATAACTAAGTATTCCTCAAGAATATATTCTAGCTTTATCCATATAGTGGTTTTAGTTATAACAATTAGGCAACAATCTAAGTTATTATACAATAGGAAATTGGTATTGATCGTTAAAATGGATATTTAGTAATGTTTTCACATTCTCAGTTTTTGGTTTTGATTGCTATCTACGGAAAGGTGACTAATCTATAACAGATATAACAAACAGTAGTTAAGAAAGTTAATTGGACTCAATGAAGAAATCATGCTGACGCTTAATTCCGTGACATATTCTCTGCTTATGAACTTCCTAAATGAATGAATTTCGTTTCTCAGAAAATTCTCATTCGATGTATGGTTTATTTGACCTTTACACTAAATCACCAGTTCAACTCATTGAATCTCACTAACTGATTGTAGGAATAATCTACTGTTAGGAGACTCAAATGTCAAGGTAGAATACTCAGAAGACACAGTACAGTTTACTGGAGATGCTGACAAAATTCAGTCCTTTGATTCCATTGATCCGTAATACAAGCGTTTTCAGGATACATTTCGCTTCTATTACCAGAACAACTTTATATTAACACCTAAGCTGACGATGAGTGAAGTAGGTGAGCAGACCGACCATTTCACCTATTTTGAAGGTCTCACCAGCTCTAGTGGGTTGAAGTTTGGCGAGATCATGGCACGAATTCAGGAAACCCGATTAACCTTTGCCAGCTTGGATCATTTGTGGCGTAGGCGAGACATCCGTTTGCAAACCAAAGAACGAGTATACTGACATCAGTTCGCTTGGTTCTACCTTATGACTGTGAGACATGACCTTTGAAACCAAAGAATAATCGTAGATAACAAGTATTTGACCATAGGTGTCCTCGAAACACTGCCTGTTTATATTGGGACCATTGAATGAGTAATGCTGAGGTTAGATGCAGAGCACTAAGTAATAATCGCAAGCTGGTTGGGACATATGTTGCATTTGCCTAGCCACCGCCCACACCGACGCTCGACGTTTTGTGGTGTAGGAGACTAGAAGAAAGGTAGGGGAAGGCAAACCACGACGTGTCATCAGTTCACTAAGTTTCTGATTTTTCTAAATCGTGTACGAAGGTGCCGATTACCTAGCTGATATCCGCTTGATAACCGAAATCACTACTTGGGGACGTTGGGTGACATAACTAAAAATCATTTACAGTGAGACAAGCGCATTCAGCCTTTGTCTTGGCTCAAATCTTAAGCTTCGGAATTGTTTTTACTCTTTATTCCACAAACCAATTATTTTCTGCTCATATGATCTAACCCAATCCTCTTTACCACCACTGATATTTCAACTACTTCTACTGCTTTGGTATTGCTCTTGACAATTTCATGTCGCTATGTTGTTGCAATTTGAGTTGATGCACATATATGGTAGGCTCTAAGTTGTTGATAACTAACTGGAGATCTGTAAATCCGTGTTTTAAAAAATCCTATGGCAAGTTATCTTATCCGATTACGCAATATAATAGCATAATGAGTAACTTTTTATGGATGAAAGGTTATTTGGTCTGGATTGTATTCATCAAACAGATTAATCTCAAAAAACTGGTACTCAGAGTTACAAGCAGATTTTCTGTTTGATAAGTAACCCGCCAGTTAGATCATGTCCTGAAGATTAGACGACACCCAATGGAATCAGTTAACAAAGTTATTGCGTCACAATCCTAGTATACACGATGTTTATACAAACTTATTTTATTTCTTGAAAGCGTCCTGGGTTCACGTCATAAACACCTCGTCCGACTTTGAATTCCTCGAATTTTCCAGGGCAATTAGTGTTCAGTTGAAGACAAGTCTCAAAAATATCCTGGACTACTAAAAATGTGATTTCAGAAAATGAAATTTGATTGACACGCCGAAAACAAGTACCCTAAAATGCCTTAACTCAATTACTTATTTTCCGACAGCTTCCGTATAACTGGTTTGCAATCGCTATCTCTGTGATGTGTAAACCACCTGCCCCAGATACCCTGCCAGCTGCAAAAGGCTGGATGATTTAGTACCACGCGAGTGTTGATACAGAAACAACTAATTTACGGTAAATCCGTTGGTGATTTCATCCAGGTTGAGAAAAATAAATAAATTCAGACGTGCAGCATGGCTTCTCACCAGTCGCGTGATTGGATGATGTCTTCACTCGACAGCTAGCGGAAATCCTATATAGCCATGCATCCCAATTACTGCAATGGTCATTGACGTGTCTCAATAGCAGTTAATATACACAATCACGAGATTCAATGACAGAAAAGCCCAGACAACTACAGCAACTATTGGGTTACACGATCTCAAGGAGTGTGAACTAGACACACGGGCTCACTACTCTCCATTACTGAATTTTGATTGGCCCAATGTATGTGCCTTAAATAATAGCCACTTAATTTGTGTCAGTGTGTGGAATTTAAATCTGGTGATGAATTTAGACAGGCTGACCGCTAATCTATTGATCGCTCAGTTACTCTGTAATTGGCTACTTGATCAATATTGGATATTTGAATGACGGACATGTACACGTGTGTTTGCTGTCGTTTCTATTGAATTTTAATGGTGCGGACCGATCTATTGATCGCACGCCTAACTTGCAGTGTGGTTTCGTTGAGATCTCATTCCTTTGGACTCTGGTTGTTAGAAAGGCAAGTTTCTGGACTATTTTACTGTCATGATATATTAATCTATTGAGTTGACTAAAATTTGTTGTAATAGTGTATACCTGTTGGTACTTGTTAGTACTACGACTGCCGTGGTTTATTCAAAACATAATTAAATTAAACACATAATACCCAAAATCACTCCAAAATAAAAGGTTGTCAATTAGTTTCGCATGATTCATGCTGTAATTAAAATGTCCAGTTATTTGCTTTCCTGAAGATGCGGAAATCTGACAGAACATCAGTCCTGATGTATCGTAAGTTTTGTTGCAAAAATAGAGACATTAGAAGTTAGATTATCGTTGATATTCAGCACTTGACTTGCCTCCAATGTTTTTGTATCATTCTGTGTTGTAGGCCGAGTGCAATCTCAGCCTGGTATGGTAGCCAGATATAGACCACTTGTAGCCAATGTGAACAGCAGTAAAAAACGCTTTTCTGATACGTCTTGTGATACTCGATTAAACTCAGTGCCACTAAAAGGCAAAATTTTTTCACGTCAGGTTAGTCAACGTGGCACAGACCAGCCATCTCAAAATTTGTCTGTGGCAAAGAAGAGTGGTTCATCATCAGTACACACAAGTGAGTTTTTCTGAATCCGAATTTAGTTGTTGAGTATGTATTTCAATCACCAACGTATTCTTTACCTTTCAATCAAACACCATTTTAGGAATAATAATATTTATGTTTAAATGCAAGTTAGGTGGACTTTCTACCGAACCCGTAACTATTTACACGATCACCTACTTTATTATACTTATCAAAAAAGAATCCACTTCATATCTATAGATATCAGTCTATGTTAATTAGAAGTATCCTCTAGGCATAGAGTAACAAGTGTGTAAATCCATACTTAATTCATACTACTTCACTTACTGGTATTAATGACAATGATATTCAAATTATTTGTATTATCTTAATCATACCATAATATTTCTTGGTAACTTAGTTGTATCCAAACAATGATAACTTTAAAACGCGTTTGGTTCGCTGGTGTACATCACTCAGCAGCTTATACCATATTTTGTTATACCACTGAAAGTTATGGAATCGAAACCAATAAATTATCGTAATATGATAACCAGAGGACTTACGTGTCATCAATATTTGTAGTAACTATAACTGTACACGATCGTTGAACCGGTTCACGTAAAAAAAAGGTTCACGAAATTCAGTTTACTGTTACCTGTCGCAACCACTTACTTCAGTGTGGTTGTCTGAATATCTCATCTTTAAAGAAATAGGGAGGTAAACATCTGATTGTGTTCTCACGTGTTGTATTGTTTCGTAAGTAGGTTATAGTACATACTCTAATCTAATTCTCAGTATTTTATTGACTTTTGGTGGTTGCTACAACCTCCTTGGCTTGTTAACCTGATTATACAAGAATGAAAAGATTTGAGAGAAAATCCCCATACACTCCATATTGAGTAGTGTAGATCAACGATGATTTAGACGTACGAATTACGTTATTCAGTCTTCAGTAATAAGGATAGGAGGTCTGTCGACCTATACTAATCCTTGCAGTTTGTAATACTGTGGAGGTCCAATCTCGTTTTGAATATATTAACAGACGGTGCTGATATTACGTGTTCCGGTAGAGAATTCCAGTAATTCACTACTCGGTGCGAGAAACGGAACTCCAGACGTAAACGGTTTGATCTCGGTTTTTGAACTTTCTTCGAATGTCCTCTCAAATAATCGGTTCTAGACGGAAGCAAAAGATAAGACATGTTAATACCAAGGTCATCGTTCAGTATACGATAGGCCAATATTAGATCACCCCGTACTCTACGGTAAGATAACGGAAATAAGTTAAGGTGTCTCAGTCTGTCTTCATAAGATAGGCCAGCTAGGCCTTGTACCATTTTAGTAGCTCGTCGTTGGACTCTTTCTAGCATATCTGCTTCATATTTGAAACAAGGACTCGCTGCTTGAATCCCGTATTCTAAATGTGGTCGCACATAAATCGGGTATAGTAATCCAAACATTTCATCATCTAAATACTGAAAAGACCTACGAATTGACCATAATACCCTATAGCCTTTTGCAGCAGCAGCCTTACAGTGACTAGTCGTTTTGAGATCATTGCTTAATATAACTCCTAAGTCTTTATAGTTTCTTGCTTTGGGTAGCACGAATCCACGTAGTGTATAGTCATACGATTCATCAGAGTTATTTAACTGCATCACTACACTCTTATTAAGATTTACTTCTAGTGACCACCTGTCTAACCATGCCACCAATGAGCTAAGATCGCCCTGTAATACTGTTCTATCCGACACACTATGTATGGGTCTCCAAATCTTTATGTCATCAGCGAAGAGTCGAACGGATGATTTTGCTACAGTTGGCAATTCATTTACATAAAGTAAAAAGAGAAGAGGACCTAGGATTGTGCCTTGGGGAACCCCACTTTTTACAGGTACCCACGAGAAGAGAGCCCCATTAACCCTTACCCTTTGTCTCCTGTCATGGAGAAAGTTACTTATCCAATCGACGACTGTGTTATGGATTCCAAAACGTTCCAGTTTGAATTTAAGACCAGAGTGTGAAACCTTATCAAAGGCTTTACTTAGATCTATGAAAATTACATCCACAGGAGCATTCCGATCCTTTGCCGCAGCCCACTCTTCTCGTGCAATGAGAAGATTTATCAAGCAAGATAGGCCTTTCCGAAAACCATGTTGTGCCCTGGAGAAAAGATTTTGCCCTTCAACATAGTTTATAACAGCTATCCGAATGATTTTCTCCATCAGTTTCACAACTGCACTAGTTAAGCTAACGGGTCTATAGTTACTAACTAAATCCCTACTCCCAGCCTTATACACCGGACTTATTATGGCGTCTTTCCAGTCTCTAGGAAGTCTGGACTGTCTCAGAGACATGTCGAATAGTATCGCTAATGGTTCGGCAATTTCATCTGATATGGCTTTCATAATCCTAGGATGAATATCATCGGGACCACTGGACTTATCAGGTTTGAGGTGCTGAAGTAGCCTTAAAACAGTATCTTTCTCAATGACTACAGGATCCATCAGCGAGCCGTCACGGTCACGATGAATCATTGGTCGTTCCTCATTACCGATAGAAAACACTTTACTAAAATATTCCGATAAAGCTTCAGCTTTTTCGGCATCATTCTCTGCTAAGATTAACGGATTGTCTCGTATCAAAAGTGATGGAATTCCATCGCTTCTCTTAGTTCGCCTTTTTATATACGAGAATAACCGTTTCGGACTATATCTAGAATCCCTAACCAATTGTTTTTCGTATGAATGTCTAGTCTTGCTTATTAACGCTTTACAGGCATTCCTAATCTTACAATAACTGGATCTGTATTGTTCTAAGCCAGTAGAGATGAACATATTCCAGTGATTCTTCCTTTTTCTAAGGAGTTTCCTGACCGTTTTAGTTATCCATGGTGGACTATTATTCGGTCTTCGCGGTACCAGGTATGGTATGAACGGGGACGTAACTAGTCTAAATTTACCTTTAAATGCAGACCATGCTTCTTCAACTGATATGCTAGTATCTACTAACCAATCTGTCTTAGCAGCGCATTCCTGAATGGCTGATATGTTAGCTTTCCATACATTTGGGCGCGGTGTAACCTGATCGTATAACATGTCCCTAGTTCTAAACGCGAATGACAAAACTGCGTGATCGCTGTTTACTAACGGTGGAAGAATATTTAAGTCGACAATATCCTCAGTCTCATGAGTGATTACCAAATCCAGCAGAGAAGAACCCTGGTTAACACCAAAACGTGTGGGTTGGGATACATGCTGCACTAGTGCATGCTCCATTATTGTTGTCAGTAACCTACTATCAAAGGAGTTTATAGATCCTTCTGTGGTCATATCAGTCCAACTAATATCAGGTGCGTTAAAGTCTCCTATTATCAAGCACCTGGTATTATCACTCCAAAGATGAATGTGCTCTAAAACAAAGTCATCAGCTGAGCAGATTGGGCTCCGATAGATGACACCTAGCATAAATGTACCACATCCTATAGCCAACTTACAGCTAATGACTTCACAAGTGCCGCTATCATGGGATTCGCTAGTAGAGGAGCGGATATTTATGCCATTGGCTATATATAACAGGACGCCGCCTCCTTTCCTACATCTATGTCTATCACTCCTGATGCAATGGTATCCGGATAATTCTGGAGTAATGTCTAAGTCATGGACTAACCAAGTTTCTGTCACTGCTACTATGAGTGGCCTTAACCTGTCTACTAGTGCTTCTAGTTCATAGAACTTATTTCGTAGACTATGAGCGTTGGCATATAAAACTCCTAAGTAGAACAGCCTATCCACACAGGCCTTGGTAGCATTCGTTTCCAAGACCTGACTATCCGAAAACCCACTAGTCGGAGATTTTCCCCACCGTTTTGCCGACGGGTTTCAAGCTCAGCTAGTGCTTTCTTCCTTTTTATTCTATCTTCGAGAGACATGTCAGGTCCAACTCGGATGTCAGAATTGTCGTGACAACGAGCGCTACTTAACAAGAGATCCCGTTGCTTCTCCGATCCTAGGATTACCTTAAGGAGTCTGCATGGACGGGGTTCAACATTGTCCTCGGTCCTCTTGCCTATTCTTACCAATTTTTTGGCCTGAACTCCTTTGGAGTTATCTGGTAAAATACTACGAATGTATTCTCCTAGCTTTTCTAAGTCATGCGCGTGTCTAATTTTCGGATCGGGGTCGTTTGACTCCCGCAATTTGCTCACAATAATATTCGATGTTATTAGATTTTTCTTCCCAATCACGCCAGGATGGGTTTCACTCTTACCATCAGATCTTGGTAGTGCAATTTGTGGCTCACAATTTGAGTCCACCAGTGAGTTACTAACTACCTGTGTACTGCTTACAGCTTCTTTCTTCTCGTTTCGTTTCCTACGTACCGTAGTCCATTTTTCATCCCTCATAACACTGGGACTATTTGGAACGGTGACTGTTTTATCCAGATCTTCGGTTCCCATTAAAGGTGCATTATTAACAATGTCAGTACCAGGTGGTACTACTCCCCCTGTTAATGTCAACGAAGATTCCACTTTTACGTCGGTCAGAGTCGGTTGTTTGAGGCGTCACGTAACAGCAGGTACTACATTGACACATTCGTCACTGTCAGTGCCCGTGTTGTCAGCGCATATGCCATCCTTCTTTTTACAGGCCAAAGCCAACAGGCTCATAGCCTCCTGTATTAGTAATGCCTTGTTGGCACAGCAAAACATGCAAAGCCAATGTGAGTTAGGCTTCGAGCATCTTTTGTATGCGGTGGGACTTAAGCGGGTGCACATTTTGTGGGACCACTTATGGCGTTCGTCACACTGCATTCCCTCCTCCACAGGGAACAAACAGTTTGGTTGTCCACATTTGTGAGTACTACCAACCATTTTAGTCTGATCAAAGTGTAATACACAATATGATCACAGTATGAACACAAATGTCAGTCAACGAATAAAAGGTTACCACAAGAAAAACTTTAGCAAGATTTCAAACCTTAACGAAAGTACTTTGACACAGACCAAGAATGCTTCGAACGTAATAAATACACAGAAGCCAAAAAAACTCAACAAAATATCACTTTAACTGTATTAGATTCAATTAAAGTGTAAATCGTAGTTTTGATACGTAATTTACGGTCAAAACAATTTACTAATTCAACGAGAAACAATACCACTGTCCTTTTTAGATAGCGCGCGTTAAACTCACACACTTTTGATGAGGTTGATTTATCAAAATATATTCTCCCACATACAGTGGCTTACCCGTCAAATAACTTTGTGGGTACTCTAGGCATGATTACATTACTAATTTCATTTACAGATATCTTGTTAGTTATTATAATCAGTTTCTTATAAGCCTTTGGTTATCACGTTCTTTCAAACCCTTAGTTGTTTGGAGCACTTCTAATAAGTTGTGTTTATAATATATGTTTGTTGTTATTTTCAAGATCATCAGGTATCTGGCAATCAAGTAGATATAACCACAAACAGAGCTTTAATGCATTTGTTGGTCACACAATTGTAGTTTACCCGTCATCTGCCTCGTCACTTCCTGTTTCATCTTCTCCATATCCTTCGATCTTTAAGATCTTGCCTCCACAATATAATTACAAGAATAGGGGATAATTACCGCCAAAGAATTGTAAAATATTTATAGTAGACAGTAGTAGATTGTTGCGGGTTAACAGTCATGTACCGATTTAGTCAACCAAAATCAATACGGGGCATGGCACAACTGTGCGTTTCCATCGGTTGCCATACCGCCTCGACACAGCAAGATGAAACTAACATCAAGAGTCTAAATAATAGTAGTTTCAACGTTAGTGCGTAGCAGCTAAACATAGACACCCTACCAAGTTCAGATTGATTTAATATAGTAGGCGTCTAAGTATAATTTAATTACCAGCCCTCCTATCTATATCCACAACTAAAAACAGGAGCCCACTTTACGTATTTATTGGACAGGTAACGTGTTCTTGGGCGTCTTTTCACTGTATTGAAAATAATTAGATGTTGCCACTTCAAAGATTCTATGAAATAGTGTCAGGTGATACGTAGTAGTTTTTTTTTGGTTTTCTCATTCAGTGTTATACATCCCATTGTCTGGATCCTACGTTTGTTAGTAAATTTGTTGTTTCGTGGTTAGATGATAAAAGTCGTGAGGAAAACGGCGAAATTAACTACTGCATTAGTGATTAAAGTCAGGACGAGTTCTTTTATACTGTTATGTCAAAGTTTTTCCACAGCCTGAGGACATTTCTTGGACAATTCAACTTTTTTGCGTGTAAAGATATGACATTCTAATACTGCACATTCGTACTTCTCCTCATTAGTATATTTTTCAGGTTTCTTAAAAAATATCTACAAGCTAGTTTGTGATTGGCTGATAACTTATATTCTATAGATTTCAAGATCACTTTCAAATTATCATTAGGAACTAAACAATTACAACAGCTTGGATACGATTAGCAATAAACCAATCGCTCCTAATAGAAATCGGCCATCTTGATTCCGATCATTTTCTCTCGTATTATCACTTGCAAAATGTCCGTTTTTATGTTCAAAGCCCGTGCTGATGGTTAGGATTTATCAAGTGGCAACCAAATTGGTTTTGTGCTTTTAATTTCTATGTCAACTCTTACATATTAAGGTGCGTATATTTTTCTGTATATAAATGAAAAATATTGCTTCAGAACTGGTCTGCTTCGGCCCCTGAATTAGTTATATGAAATAAAGTAGGTGAGCGGACCGACCATTTCACCTATTTTGAAGGTCTCACCAGCTCTAGTGGGTTGAAGTTTGGCGAGATCATGGCACGAATTCAGGAAACCCGATTAACCTTTGCCAGCTTGGATCATTTGTGGCGTAGGCGAGACATCCGTTTGCAAACCAAAGAACGAGTATACTGACATCAGTTCACTTGGTTCTACCTTATGACTGTGAGACATGACCTTTGAAACCAAAGAATAATCGTAGATAACAAGTATTTGACCATAGGTGTCCTCGAAACACTGCCTGTTTATATTGGGACCATTGAATGAGTAATGCTGAGGTTAGATGCAGAGCACTAAGTAATAATCGCAAGCTGGTTGGGACATATGTTGCATTTGCCTAGCCACCGCCCACACCGACGCTCGACGTTTTGTGGTGTAGGAGACTAGAAGAAAGGTAGGGGAAGGCAAACCACGACGTGTCATCAGTTCACTAAGTTTCTGACTTTTCTAAATCGTGTACGAAGGTGCAGATTACCCAGTTGGTATCCGGTTAATAATCATGACCAATGGTTAATGAGATGGATGAGGTGTATTCTGTCTTTGTCTTTATTTAAATCCGGAGTCCCAAAATGTGCCGATACTTCTAGTGACAAAAGTGTTATGATATACATGACATGTAATTAAAATGTCACAAATTCAGTAAGTGTTAAAATACGTTTGCTTTGGTTACACTAAGATCTAAGGATTTTTTTTTTCAAAATAACAGACATATAATCGACTTCATACATCCAAATAATAGTAATGTTTTTGTATCATAGTGAACCTCACTATAGATCGTTTAATTAATGGAAGCTGAATAGCTTTTACTTTAGTAACATTAATTTACTAAGATAGGCGTTTAGCATAAGAAGTCACTACTAAATAGATGAGTTTGCTCATACTTAACACATATATGTTAATATGTAGATTCTTATTGTTGATGAAACCTTAAAAGCGGAGAGTAGCACTTAATGTATTTGGTGGTAAAGTATCGCAATTCATTAGTATGATTTACAGGATCTGTTAAGTGAGAATGTGTATATACTTGAAGTGACTAAACAAGTGGGTTATACAATCTTTTGGAACCACCACAAATTATCAGTTAATTTATTTTTTAACTTAGTTTTTATTATCAATTGATAACATAAAGGGTTAACAGTTGTCACACTTTTCTTATTGTCAACATGGGATTCATTTTCATGTCGTTCACCTTTTGGTTAGATATCTGGAAGTTTTCACGTGCTACATCCTTATGTTATTCAAAAATTCTGTTTGACATACGAGATAACTTTTAAGTTAGTTATTAACTGTCTAACAAAAATTTCTCTCTATAATCGGTCTTCATCTTGATTAGGTGTTAAGTCCCTATGTAGTTGTTTTAGAGTGACTTGAGAAGAAATTCTAACTTACAAGAACTAATGCAACGTCTAAAATTCGGATCAAATATTGTTCAGTACTTACTTTACGGTGGTATTCTGACGTTTTAATAACTTGCTTGTAGAATATGCTGTTGCTCCATTTTTCATAGGTATTTTATGGTTTAGATAGTTTTTCAGGTCTATTAGCAACTAAATCATTTCAATCTTTACATTGTTGTTTTTCCAGAACCCGGGCCTTTCGATTGGGCACATTATCTTAGAGAAATTGATGCAGATCCTGTCCAGTCTTCTCTCTTTTTTCATGTTCCGTTTGAAGTTCAGGTATGTCATTTATCGATTGCATATACTAATGTTGAAAGTTTATGTAAACTATTTCAAGAGCATCTACATACGTTTGGTTAGTGGTTTGTAAAAGAGATCCTTCAAGTTCATGTCCACGGTTCACATAGTCGTTTTGCTGATAACCTCAATTATTTATATGTACCGGCTCTCCGCTAGTATATATATATATATATATATATATATATATATATATATATATATAGTCTTAATTGTTGATTGGATGAGACAACGGTGAATTATACTGAGTTGGAAAATGAGTATCGTACGTGTGGACGCATCAGGGCTAGTTATCATTCATGCCTCAACCATGTAACTGTATTGTAGTCATCAACGTCGTCTCGATTCCTTAAACAAATCCAGTTATTCCTTTACATGTTTAGAGTATTATAGAAAGACCTTTTCGTAGGTTCCTGGAACCGAAAAATCTTGTGCTATTTAGAAGTATAGTAATCTTGAATTATTGTTTCTTTTCTGCGACATGTTAATTTGACCAACCATTCTTGTTGGTGATTATTATTGTCTTCATCTGGTATAGTATTGTCTGATTATCTTTGTTCTATATGTATCAGTTCCATAAAGCCATTAAGAGTGAGTTAGTAGAATGTAGGGTTCAGGTTGCATTTCCATCCAGTCACTAATCTGTTTATTCACTTCTTTAGGTATACTTAAATTGGATTAAGATCACTTGTTTATCAACATCTAGTCCTAATCATTCAGTCCAGTTAATAAAATATTACTGATTATTAACCGATTTCGTATGTGTGTTTCATGTTTTCACTCATTCTTATTACTTTTTAACAAGGTCCCATCACCATCAATTCTTCCTGGACAAAATGTAGCCCCTGAGGGAAATTTCAAGCCTGGTCAGTATTTAGAGGGTATTGATCCTCACAATGAAAGCTTAATTTGTGTTCTCTGCGTTTCTGAATTGATAGGACGGCGTGTCAAGCTTCATTTTGCTAGTTACCCGGAGAAGTATGACTTCTGGACGACAATAGACTCTCCTTTTTTGTTTCCTGTTGGATGGTGTGCACATAACAACCGTCAACTTCAACCCCCCAAGGAATATCTCGAAGAATCTTATCATCCATTTAATTGGACAAGCTTTTTGGCTAAACTTGGAGCCAAACCAGTTCCTCGCCATTCATTTAAAGTACCATGGGATTCTGTAAGCTGTGATGTCAAAGTTATGCTACCATAAACATGAATTTTTGAAACCAGTTTGTTCGGTTTTGTTGTTTACACCATAAATTTGAGTAAGACGTACCTTACCAAAAACAGGTTTATGCACTCGACTTACAGCGTCACTTGTGTGGAAGTCCGATTGTTCAAACGAAAGATTTATCGGGATTCAGTCCTTTGACTCAGTGATTAAGTGTCGATTACATTAATCCTGAAGTTACATCCTGGGTGGCATAGCTTAGAATCAGTCGCACTTGCTCAGGTGCATTCAATTTTTGTCTCCTCTCACATCTCGAATTTCAAAATTATTTTACACTTTTTTATTACGCGAATCCATTCCTTTTTAATCGAATTATATTATCTATCTCTGATGTTTTCTACTTTCGCTGATACCATTACTACTCTTACTACTCTAGGATTCGTCGTGATAGCTTCCTTTTATTGTACTAATATGGTCTAAGAACTTGAACCGATGTGCATATGTATGTTGCTCATGTTTGACTGACTGGGTATTGTAGTTATTTCCCCACTCATTGTTTTCTTACATAGAGAGACTACGTAGATCCGGTAACTGTTATGATATGACAGCTCTTAAAATAACATAGTGTCTACTGAAACGGTGGCTTGGTGGTTAGGGTGTTTGGCCCACGACTACTAAGTTCCATGTCCGAACCCCGTTCCTCCTACTTAGTATGGTTCATACCTAAGTACCTGATGAATGAATAAATCTAATAGGAGTTTTTCTTCTGACAAATCAAGCGATTTAATTGAGTACCTAAACAACTGAGATAAGCCAATAATTCACTCATTGTAATGACCTCCAGACCCGAGCTTGTTAAATTTAAAAAAATGAAACAACTTTGCGTTTACCTATAAGTACATTTTGAAAAATTAAAATTATCATTCGTATGCCAAAAAATATTTAGCCGTGATTATAGGTTAATTGTCAGTTAAAATGATTCATCAAAGGTGAAACATTAGTCAAAAATCAATTAATATTTATTCACTTAAACATCCCATTTTACATACCGAATCCAATTGTGTCATTTAAATAATAAATGAATCTTGTTACCTGAAATTCAAGTAAATGCTTTCTCGTTCGTAATATACGTAGTAAGTCTAAATAGCTGGCATATGGCCTTAGGGCTTCTTTGCCCTCCAGTGTGATCATTTAAAATATTACCACACAAAAATTCATAGTTGTAACGTGTCTTAAATTTAGTAGTTAGTATACAATTTTCTTGGTCTGGCTTACGTGTTTTAAACCACAAAGCTATTAGTATGGTATTACCTGAATGCGTTAGCTTCATTTGCACCGATGCTAAAGGTGTGAAAAGCTGGCTATACATATTGTTGCTAAGGTAGTCCTAGAATACACCATTACCGTCACGTATCCAAATTAATGTATTGACGGGTTTTGTTTATTGGATCTAAGATAATCACTGGTTTTATCAAAGGCAACTGTACTCTGAAGACGTTGAGATGAAAACGCCTTACCAACCTGCGTTAGGCCTCAAAAATTTGAGTAACTACAACTAACAATGAACTATATTTTAATCTTATGTTCATCGGTATATATATATATATATATATATATATATATATATATATTATTAAGCCGATACTTTCTGAATGAGTAAATGTAGTTGCAAATGATCTTTAATTTTACATTCTCAATGGGATCCAATACACTTTGTGTATTTCCCCTATGCTGAGTGCTGTTGGAATACTTCATATACTAACTGCTTATAAAACCTACTGACTGCAAAATAGATAATAAACAGTACCTAAATTCAGTTGCTGAATTACAAGCGAGTACACATTTTCCAGTTTTATCTTGTTCTTCATCAACGTAGTTTGTTAATTTAAAGTTTTTCTTATATTTTAGCCTGTTGATGCATCTCCACCGCATATGTTTGCTGTTGGACTTAAACTTGAGGCTATAGATAAACGGAATCCCTCTTTGGCTTGCGTTGCCACTATAAAAGACTGTATCGGTGATTATATATTGATTCATTTTGATGGTTGGGACTCAGGGTTTGATCAGTGGGCTCACATATCGTCTGAGCTTTTACGTCCTGTTGGGTATTGCGAGGATCATGAACAAGTTTTATCAATCCCCAGTGGTATGTATTGCTAATTTGTAAATTTAGTGAAAATTCGCATTTTGATATTCGGTATTTATATATATATATATATATATAAGCGTAGAGCCATAATGAAAAACTAATTGAAAACAAATTTCTTCTCTCGATTCGTTCCTTCCTAATTTGTGCTATGACCCGTGTTACTAGGGTAAATTGCGTACCACTGACCACTCAGATTTCTTAGTTTAGAAGTTATATTTTTTTGAAAATCCTACACTTCACCGTCCCTGTTTAATCTTTTCTCCTAAACCCCCTCAGTACAGTAATATATAAGAAGTTGAAACGAACATTCTTGATAGCCGTACCATAAGGCTGTCATTCGTAAATGTATTATTTGTAGCTGAAAAAACAAGGCACTGAGCTATTTGATGACTAAATTTTATCCAATTCAATATCATTATTTTATTATCAGAATGGGTTTTGTGGAGAGTTTTTAGAAATTTCACAGGTTGGAATCATGAGTCGATTGAAGCTAGATCACCATGGAAAACCTGGAAGCACTGGACGGCCGTTTCGTCCTAGTATGGGACTCCTCAGCAGTGCGCATCCACGATCCCGCACCACGCAGGGCTCGAACCTAGGACCTACTGGCTTCGCGCGCGAGCACTTAACCACTAGACCACTGAGCCGGCATCCAACGGTGTTAATGTCTAACTTCAACCAATCCACGGAGTTGCGCCACCGTACACCATTGTCTTCAGTGAGTTACTATCTCACGACAGACCTGGTTGATGCGCACTGCTGAGGAGTCCTATACTAGGACGAAACGGCCGTCTAGTGCTTCCAGGTTTTCCATGGTGATCTAGCTTCAATCGACTCATGATTCCAACCTGTGAAATCGTTATTTTATGTCAGGTGACAAAATATGAGCTTTCACGGCTCCTGTACAGATGATGTAATGCTTGACAATACCATATATAAAGCTAGAAATCATACAGTAGTGGTTGAGGTGATGATACCATTTAACAATTTGAATCTCGTGATAGAAACCCTTGATCCATTTACTAGGAGTAGATTGTACAAACCTCTATACTGAGATTCTACGCTGATGCTGTTCATCTGGCGATTCTCTAAAGAGACTGAAGTTTTGAGTGTTAATTTGGTAAACGTGGAAACAAGTTAAAACGCTTTACATGGTTGATTTTAAATAACCACCAACACATGCGGAACTTTATTCAATCACCACAGAACAGATCATCTAATAAGACTGAATTTGTTTCTGCGGCTAACTACTATATCTTAACTTCATTGTTACTGACAAATTTAATTTAATGAATACCTAATTACATTACGAGTCTTTTGAAAATCATCAAATTCCTTGGAACGTACTAGTTTTTGTCTATACAACTGTAAATAGTAGGTAAGAATGCTAAGCGAAAGAATTGTAAATATACCGACCTAGTAAACGTTTAGCGAGGATAAACGATGTGTCTGGTATGTGTGTAGAATGTTGGGATCTATACCATTGCATCCTAATAAATGTACACAGTTCACTAAACTTAAACTTCGTGTTTACATGTTAACAATAATTAAGTTTCTGTTATAGAGGCGGTTTTTAATGATTACTGAATAAAATTTCCGATTGTCCGAACCGATGAATGAAATCCTAATCGACAAATGAGTACAATTATGTAATGTGGTCGAGTGATGGATGCTCACAAGAACGTATTATTGATTCAAATGATTGGAAACCAAAGACAAAAGTACTAGTTAGGTGACTAGAATATCATGCAATAAAATAACATGCTTATATACAAAATGTAAACACTAAATAAACACGGTTAAATGACATGGGCGATTAGCGGAAATGAATTCATAGTTTACTCACCCTCCAATCAACTAAGGCCTGAGTGTGAGGCCTAATTTCTAAGAACCTTACTAATTTCACGAAAAAATAAAATGACTTTTTTGTGTCATACCTAAATTTAAATCCAGTCATCTGCACAAATCGAGTCCGATGTTCATCTTTGATATGTTCTTGTCCCAGTACCAAGTAGAAGCGGATGATAGGAAAAGAAAAAAAAACTTTTGGACCACTTTTTATGTATACAATCAGTGGAGCACTATGAATCACAGTCAGTTGCTAAAACTCAACCACCCAAGACCATATAGGTTCCTGTCTGCAAACTTTTAAATCCCGTTCTTGTTTTATCGATACGTCTAATTCAGATAAGAACAACTGCAGTCCAAGTGGTGGTTACCAGTATACTGAATTTTTTCCATAATTAACGAAGTCAGTGGATTCGAATATTATACAGTTAGGTTAATAATAGCAGCACAGTGCCGTTCTGTAGAAATTTTATTCTTTGTGTGGTAATTTCCTTTTTTCATTATATGTGCAGGCTAATTAGAGATTTAAGCTGGTATTCATGTATCAAATTCTAATTTTAATGAACCTATCAACTTTAGGGGAGAATGTTAAAAGAAGACTTAGATTTATTTTATTTTCAATACGGATTTCATAAACCATTATAGTGAACTGAGAGTTTTACGTTTGACAAACATTTCCGTAGACATATTTACATCCTAGAAATAGTTTTTCACCATATCAAACGATTGGTTTTGGGATATTCATGGATCAAAGCCGTTAAGAAGTGTACACATGAAGCATATTCAATTTATGCTTCAGCTCTTGTTAATCTATTTAGATATATAATGCGATGAGGTTTATGTCGTGTCCATTAGATGGCTTTGCATTAATGGTCATAATTCTTTTATGACAAATAACCTTAATTGGTTTTTTATTTCGTAGAAACAGGCGTCAAAAATATTTCTGCAGATAATAAACATGAACTTAAACCCAAGCTTAAGGAAAAACTTAGTCTTACCAGTTTAGGAGCACTAAGTAACTATAGAACTTTTTTTATCTATAACATTTCATTTTATTGATAGATTGGAGCAACCGTCGTAATGGCTTTAGTTGGAAACTTTACCTGAAAGAGACAAATTCAAAGCCTGTACCTAAAGAAGCATTTGATGAGGTAATATTGGTCAGTTCTAAATTCTCTTTTGATTCATATCCTTAGGTTCTTGGTCTGGTTTATTTGTTAAATGCTCATAAAATTCTAATTAGTCTGATTGTAAAATTATAATCTAACTGTAAAATGCATTATTGGTACACATGTGTTTAAGTAAAAATGCGTAGATCGTATTGTATTTTGGTTTCTAGCTTTTATTGGTTGGTTGAATGAAGCTAATCAAGTCAATTACATATATCATCTATTATTCTGTACTAGTATAGGATGTTTACTAGATATTGTTTAACACGTTATAAAATTAGTTATCATTACGAACTGAAATCAGTTAAAGCCTCAAACAAGGACAGAATAAATAACCGGTTCAACCTTTTTTAGTCAATACCAGCTCATGACAAACCCAATCTACGGATGAAATAAGTCTTTACAAACTACCTTGATAATTAAATCTATCATGAAAAACGTACATGATTACTTAGATCCAAAAGATACAAAAAAAATACCTTTCGCACTGATTTGATCAAACAACAGAAATTAAATTGCCGATAATCGTGTTTTTGTATTTATGGTTTTCTGTATCACCTGATCAAACATTCTCTATACTTGTCCACATGTTTCGTGAGTTATGAATTTCGTTATTATACGATCTATGAACTCTTCATTTCTCATTTATCGTGAAACTTCTCTGTTATTACTGGGGCTTCCTTCATGTTTTTCGATGTATATTTTTTGGTGTTGTTTGTTTTATAGGGTCGTCAAAGTAATCTTTACCTGTCCTGTCAATATATATTATATTTGTACTAACTGTCTCGTTGAAGTTTTTCAGAAAAATAGGGTTTCATGACGTAATACGTGTTACGAAAGGAAATAATTCCTATTTGTATCTGTATCATCACCTTTATGTTATATAAAGTGATATGGTGAGCAGTATGTAAATCGATTGGAGTGCGAATGACACGTGAGATTTCCAATCTTCTGTGACATGTAATCACATAACTTTGTGAATTGCTTATATCTGCTGGTTATAGACGTCTAATTGTATTTAATTGTAAATAATTATTTACAAAGTAGGTAATTGATTAATTGGTGTTATATACTACTCAGTTCAATCTATGCTTATATGAATGACAATCTGGCTAAATAAATCGTAAAAGTTTTGTATTCATGTATTCTTTTGATTTATTTTGGTAGTCAAATAAATCCTTATCACCGTGTTCCTACTTGCGTTGTCTGATTCACGGTTTTTCTCGTACTAAATCAGTTAAAAACTCTGTGGAAATAGCGTGAAATTTGATAGATTATCAAGTTTCATAGTTTCAATACTATTAATTGAAACAAACAATACCATGAATCCAAAGAGTAGTTTTCTTCTGTATCTTATAGTCTATCATATGGGAATAAAGCCTTCAACAGAGGAGCATTATCCAATCTATCCCTGTACATTTATCTATAAATCAATGGATTACTAGCTTTCCTCAGTCTCAAGATCAGTGGGAATGCAATAGTCATGAGCTGAAAATAACCTCAAAATTTCTCTCATTCAACCATCACTTGTTCGTTTACTGTTAATTTATCAGTTAAATTAAAATCTAGCGATTACTTTATTCACTAAGCTTTTTTTTACTAGTCTGTCTTTTGTTACATAGATCGTATACGCAAAAAACACAAAACATTCTACTTGATATATTTTATTAATGTTAATCTCCAATAATCTGACTTTTATGATGGTGAACTAAGAGGGAGGATGAGTATTTCTGGCCCCTATTTTTAAAATGTTTATACAAGAGTATCATTACTTTTTAATAGTATTTTTATTATCTACAATGTAGATAACCAAATTCGCTAAATCATCCCAACAGTTTCTAATAAACCAACGTCTAGAGGCTGTGGATAAACGGTGCCCTTCATTGGTTCGCGTTGCCAATGTTGTAGATAACACCCCTCCTGGATTTCTCACCCTAGGATATGATGGTTGGCCTGATAAATACAACATACGTATAGAGGTGTCGTCCCTTGATTTATTTCCTGTTGGTTATTGTCATGCTTCTGGACATCCTCTACAAGTCCCACCGGGATGTAAGTTTCTAATTTTCGACTAATAATTATTATCAGTGTTTTGAGAGCTAAACTTCACATCACTCTAAAATCAAAGCAAACTATAATCGAAACCATCCTAAAAAATTTTAAAAACCCACACTCCTAAATCGGTATAGGTACGTTGTGTATCAGGAAAAAGGATAAACGAATTATTAAATGTATTGATTATAAAAATTTTATTTTTCTCCAACTTTTATCGTGTTTTCATTGGTAGATCTCTAACTGTTGTTTCTTATCATTGTAAAACCTTATCGTGTGATTCGCTAACCACCACCTAGTAAAAGCCTAACATTTCTTATTTGTTGCTAGCTTGTAAATTCTAAATTGGAAAAATAGTTTAAAATTGACCATAAAACAAGATATATATATATATATATATATATATATATATATATTACGACCAATTTTGACTCCTGTTTATATTAACATAACATTTTAATTTTCCATGCATCTGTTGATATCTTAGTTGCGAATAAGCCTAACCCCAGGACGGTCCTTACGATATTATCTAATCTTCCCTCTCCAAGACAATTATTACTTATTACAGGAACTTGATCTAGCGTATTCACTTTTTTCCCACTGGACTAGATTAGTGGTTTATGTTTCAATTTTTTAAAAGCAACTTTTGTGAAGGTCATATTGTTTGTCCAGAATAATTTTTTCAATATCTTCAACTTTTTTCTATCAATTAAATGCCAATTACCTTTCACTCTTTTCCTTCCCTCACATAATTTTCCACTAATTAAAAAAAGACGGACGTTTTTATATTCTGTTAGATAGAATCTCATTTCCCTGGTGCCACAGAACTAATGCTTATGTGAAAAATAAAGATGAAAACTTGACATTAATTTTATTACTACTTACTTCTGCTTAATTTTTTCGTTATGCCTTTTTTATACCTATTCAGCTTTTGTTGACGAATTATTTCTTGAGATGAATATCGAAATGGTGTCTTTATTCAGTGGACTTAAACAGGGAAGCATTTTATATTGTGTTAATTTTTGGTATTTTTTTGGTTTCATCATAACCTTTCTAAGAGTTTTTTCAATGTTTTCTTTGTAAATTCGATATCTTTGTTCTGTCTCGTTGACCTTGAGAAGATGTCTCTAAATAATAACTCATTTAAAATCATAATATCTGATTCATTTATTTTATTTTTATAGATGATTCTGAATTGGATTTAAATGGAAATTTAATGGACTCATATTCTAATTCTTCTGCCAGTTCACTTAGCTGTAGTGGGACTGCCAACCCATTTGGTGGGTGCCCAACTCCCGGTTGCAAAGGCTACGGGCATATCAAAGGACCTCGATATTTTTCCCATCAGCGCATTTCGGGATGCCCATATGCTGATAGTAATCTTAAGAAAGATGCTATTAGAGCACACGAACGTCTAAGTTCAACTAATATATTAACGTCCAGTTCTCCTTTTTCTGTTGATTCAGAAAACCCCGATTCTAGTGCTACAATGGCCTCGGTTTCTGCTTACAATCCTCCTAATCGTAACTCAGGTCAACGTCTTTCGCCGGATTCTACTGTCAAAAGTGAATTCTCTTCAAATAACACACCCACTGTTGTTACATCTTATTCTCTCATAGCATGTCCATATTTAGATACCAAAGTTCCAGACTCTGTATCAGGTAATTCAGTTACACTGCAATTTTCTATTGCGGATAGCGTTGTCACAACTTCACCTGGTTTTTCACCTGTGATAAGCAACCTCCATTCAACCAGTAGCCCAGCTGTTTCTGTCCAGAGTTCACTCCCAAATGAATCCCCTCAATCTAATGTGTTGCCTTTAAACTTAACACTTGAAAAGTTGCCTGGTTTCTCACCTAAAGAAGTGCCTTTAAGAACTGAAATTTCAAACTCCTTTTCTCCAGCAATCGCTATTGGGTAGGTTATTTTTTCCTGATGATTTGTTCGTTTTTCGCATAATCTTTTAACACTGTTGTCTCTCATACTTCTCATCCTTTTTTGAACTCTTAACCCATTACTTAAAAAGGGACTGATGAGATATCTGAATTTTTATTATTTTGCATCTCTCACTCAAAGATTACGAAGTTTTGCTTCACTGGTCTAATTTACATATGAAATCCTATACTAAAAAGTTGTCAGTTTATTTAAACATCGACGTGGTTGATGTAATAGAAAGCTTACTACATACTTTCTTAATTACATTGTTTCTAGTAATTAATAGTCGATTATTGTCTCAATAATTTGAAGTCACCTTCATGATCAGTTGTCAAGTAAAAGATTATCCATCGCCAACTGACCAATAGAATTTTGCTTTTTGTATCTTGTATCTACATTTCTAACGATCCTTTGTTATCAACTTCCATCCATAGCGTCAAAAGTACTCTGGAGTTATATTTGGGTGCTGTGTTTATATTGGGCAACAGAAAAATCATTTTCTTGCGCTTTCCACTTTGTTTAATAATTCGCAAGTTCAGCTTCTACTCATGAAAAATCTGGGTAGCACTAACACTCAGATCGTTAATGTTTTCCGCTTTATTTTCCGTATAAAGATTATGAAGATTAAAATATCAACCAAATCGAAATGTTTTACATTCATTTCAGTGTGAATAATTTTTTGTCAACTAATTACACATAATAAAGCAGGTGATGCATTAAACCAAGATTTTGTGTATATTCTGAACATATTTTAGCTTATGTATCTGCAGCGATGTGATTGCCTGACATCTTATAATAAATCCTTTCTTTAAATAAGTGAATTATTCCAATTTAGTACACTTTATTGATAGCGTTTCAAAATAAATTATTTTAAACCTGTTCTTGAAGAATGTTTTGTCAATCGTTATTGACCCTGATAATTTAGCTCGTGTGTTTTTATTGTAGTCACAAAACATCACAATTGTTTTCTATTTTTCTGTATTCTCTTCTCAACATAAACTCATGACGTAAATCCCGGTTATTTTATTCCTCAGAACAATGTAAATCTAGTGGAGTTTCATTATACTTACCTAATTCATAATGTAAATCATCGTCGTTAATTTTCTTTTTTTTGAGTACATTCATTTAACATATGAATTGATTGACTCGTGAATAATTCTCTTAAACTTATTGAATTACGATTGCTCATCGAGTTATGTATTTACCAAATCGTACGATTTTTTGCATGCATAAAATGTTGATAAAAGTCTGTCTTCAAATAACATCGTATACATTTGTCTTCGTAATCGTCTTTCAAGTACCGAGATTGATTTGCTATATGGCTTACGTATGTGACAATATTTATCAGTTATATCTCTAGTGAGATTTAAAACTTGAGGACCAAATGTTTGTGTTCGGTTTTCTCAAACCTTTTGAGTAATATCATTTTCACTCATACTTATTGATGTCTTTACTGGATCATGTTTGGTTGTTTTGGATATTTTCTGTACTTTTAGAAAGTATACTTTCCTCATTTTAAAATTTACGTCAATGCAACAAACGACTGAATCCATTGGAACATTGTATTCTTTTTGATCATTGTTATCTAATACTATGAATGTCAAATATTATGTAGGCATGATAACTGTATTCTTCGTCACTGTCAATCGTACAAATAGATTTTAGAGTATGGTTTTATTCACTTTTTCTCACACAATTTTTACTAGTCTGTTATGCCGCTTCTCATTGCGGCATGCAATGCTCTTCTAGAGTATATATATATATATATAAGGGAAAGAGCAAGTTTTTCATTAGCTCAACACTTTCTTACTCAATCAAAATTATCCTCAAACGAAACACTTTCGCTTTATGACTACAGAATTTTTCAAACACTTCATCTATTTAACATTTTGCAATTTAATAGTCCTTGTACTCTGCACGAAATCGATAGCCTAAAGGCTTAAGATAGCAGTTATTATTGAATGTGGATACTGTATAGCAGTACGATTTACGTATCTGTTTCGTCCTATTTATGATTTGTCAGCTGGATATTCCTTCAACTTAGTGTCTTCCTCTTCAATCTAACAGTCCAAGCGTCAGTGTGAGGATCAAGAATACGATCCCGGTACATCCAACTGACGAGTGCTAGATATTGCCAAACACACATTCTAGATTCCATTACTAACCACTATCAAATATCAATTGAAACTTGTAAATGGACGGCAATATCGAGACCATCTACTTAGGATACTGATATGAAACTGATCAATTTCAGTCCGTAACATCAACCAGATAACAGTAATCCTTACAAATAATAATTATTATAGTACAGAAGTAAACTTAGTTTGATGAATATTGTATAGAGTATATAAGAGTGCAACTCCCTTTGTTTCCAAACGCGATTATAATTTTCCCAGTTGACAAACAGTATTTTTCCATAAGATACTGGGTTACAGAGGATAAGTAAAGTATGCTTTGATGCCACTGTGTTTCAGGAAAATACAGCATAATATGTTTTGTGTGAGCGTCAGTGCTACTTCGCCGTCAAAAAACGAATATGAAATTAAGTATACAAATAAATGCATGCCATCTTATTGAGAATGACATCTGAAATTAGTCTACCTTTCTGATGCATGATAATCACCGAAACATAAATTACTCTCCATAATATAGTTGTTGGTTGCTATCTTTATCTTGCACAAACAGGGAATGTACCATAAAGGGACTGGGATTGTTTTTCTGGTCATGGGTGTGAGACAGTCATAAGATTCCCATTCTTCGGTCAGAGTCACCAGACGAATGTTTACTAAATAGACGGGGTCGTTCTTTATGGTGAGTTATTTGATCTCATCCTCCTGATTGTTTCATCTAATATGTTAGCAGTAGGCGAGTAAATGTTTTGAACTGTTGCCTGTTGAATAACTTTTCGTGTTGAACTAATCTCTTTGTTTAAGTCACTATGAATGAATAAACTTAGTCGGTTTTTACTTACTGCTACAAAGGAGACAATGGATAATTTCCCACGCCTAAAATAGTTGTGTGACTTTTTAATGTTAACAGCAGCAGTATTCGGACTCTTTTTATGTGTTGTGAGAAACCTGTGGTTTTGTTTTCGTGGATTATTTCTGAGAATTCTTGTACATGACTCCAACGTATTTAGGGTTCACATTTCACTCAAATTACTTTCCACTTTGCAAGCTGAATAATCCAACTTTGATTTCTGTATTTATTATGTATATGTTGTGCGTCATAATCGTATGAGTTTTCCAGCCAGTAGTAGAATAGTCAATAATAAATATTGGTCACTTCAACGTATGTTTGCTATGTGATAACTGTAAGATAGTTACCTGTGTCTCAATCAACGGTCGTTTCAATAACACAGTATGTACGTGAACTTTTATCGTATTATAACCATGAACCAAGAAGGGTTGTTTATTGCTCTATAGTGAGTTCATTTTTGTTTGATAGTTTTACTATTAAGTGGTTGTCTTCGAATTCTTTTTTAATGCATCAGACAACACAGTAAATCGTTTGCCAGACTTCGCTGTTTTTTTCGTATCTCGTTTGTGAGTGGAAACTTTTTCCTCATTTTCTCGCTTCAATGTTTAATGTGAGGAATTTCAATGAGAATGATATTCTTAACATAATGACTGGCCGTTTTCATTTGTACAGTTTCCTTCATTTTCTACATCTGGACATTGGAAGCTGGTCTTCATATTTTAACCTGGTCATGTATGGACTCTTCATTCACCATGATTTCTTTCCCAAAAAGTATATTCTACTGTTAACTAATAAAAAGTCGAAAATCCATATTCTCGATAATTACGACAATCACTTTAATATTCATTTATGATTCTTGTGCTATTGCTTTACTTGTTAATTGTTTCTGTGTCTGAGTCCAATGTTCAATACCATTTATTTTAAATTAAAGATTTTCTGATGTAGTTTAAATATTCGGAACATATCAAAATAATGCAGTCGCACTTTTTTGTTTCAGTATACGTATCTAACCCCATAGTTGGTATTCATTTTTATAATATATCTCTTCCGCTAATTTCCTTTTTGTAGTTAATTAATTGTCAAATAAAATATCCCTGTTAAATTTCTATTCACGTTAATGTTAATAGCCTGTTTGATTGTACTAGGCTTGTTGAGAAGTAAGTAAAATATTTTCCCACCATCTTAACTTAATTTGGCTTCATCTAACTGTGTTGTCGATAAATTTTCTTGCCAGACTATGTTTTTGTTAGTTCTCAGGATGTTTACATTTATACATTGCTTTCCGGTACTGTGCATAAATAAACATGACTCTCACTTTTTCTTTTTCAAAATTCTTAATATTAGTGCCGTGCCTCAATGTGAAAACTCAAATTTATCTTCTGAAATCGCAGCCAATGTAATAGTCTTATCAAATGAATCCTCTATTAATGTTGCGTCTTCAAGCACAAAATCAAACATGAATTCTAATGACTCAGTTAGACCACAGAAATTAAGCAAATTAGAACCTAACCCGGACAGCGTGTCTCCTTCTAACCTTCTGTCTCATACTGCTGACCAATCTGATGAATATACAAAGAATCTTGGCATATCCCCTATACCTATTAAACGTAAACGAGGTCGGCCTAGGAAATACACTTCTGTACATGTTCTCCATCCATCCTTACAACAGTCACGTCCTGTTCATTTCACTTCCTTGACATCTCTACCACAATCATATACTACGTCTACTGGACGACACTCATATCCAGCTAGTGTATCAACTCAACATCATACTCTTTCATCTGCTGCAGTTCCGATTTCTTCGTTATCGATTACATCTACATTGTCACTTTGTAGCAGTATGAATGTAACTACCAGTTCTCACCCACCAACGGATTGTCAAAGTGATAGTTACCTCCCCCATAATATGGAATCTAATAACCTCAAAAACATCGATGTACTTAAGTCTGTCACATGCAGTTCAGAACCAAGTCCCGCTGACAGTGTTTTAACTAATGCTTGCATCAATACTAACATGGGTTACATGGATGTAGACCGCTTAGGATCATCTGGTTATGAAATTCCTGGGCAGCACACTTCTACCTTAGCTGCAATAAATGATCCGACTACGGGCTATCCTATACATGCCAGGTTGACTCAAGAAATCACTCCTGTTGACCTGTGTTCTAATCGCACTCAGCACCTAACGGTTATGAATACCTCAGGTATGATCATCAACGCTAGTAACAGTCTTCCTCCTCAATCTTTGATCGAGACATCAAATACTGGATGGTATCCTGATGTGACTAACGGGTCATTCATGCCTCCTTTATGTCCTAATCCTGTCTTGTCTTCTCCATTCTATATTGATACAGCAAGGTCATCATGTCTATTACCATCTTTTGATCTATCCTCTTCAAGTTATATAAATGCTACCGTCAGTAGCTTGAATAATCCCTCGTTGAGGGACTTTGATTTAATGGGTCGTTTATTACCACAGGCAGGGGCGGCTATCCGTGCAGCCAAAGTTGCTGGCCTTCCTGGACCTCATTCGTGGAATCCAAATGTTGTAGCTAATTTCATTTCTACACTGCCAGGATGCAAGCAATTCGCTTGTAAATTCATTGAAAATGTAAGTCAAATACTTTTTTTTACTTGATTTCTGGTTATTGACTCATCTTTCATTTTATTTCATGTAATCAATATCACTACCAAGATTCTACTCAGCTCGTTGTTTAGATTTATCAAATTTGTTTCTTTGAACGATCATTTCGGAATATTTATTGTACCGCAGTTATGAATAGAAAATCGTCAATATTTTTTTGAATCATTTGATATGCGTCGTCTCCGTAGACAACTAGTTTGCAAAAAATACTGTGGTTCATTTTAGATTTTGGTACTTACAATGTTATTAGAAAGACTCTTATTGTTACTCAGATCAATCAATTCATCATCTTTTTTCTTCTATAAAATGCAAAGCCTTATTCAGCAGATGTTGAGAAGCGACGTAGGCTTAGTAGTTATAAGTCATACAAATGAGAAATTTCAGTTATCTTTCTTTTTGTTGCTGTTGACCGTCTAAACTGGAAAATTTAAAAGCTGTGTTACTGCTTTGATTCGCAGCAGATTAGTGGGAAAAATTAAACTAAAAGGTAAAGATTGCCAACATTGCCTTGGGGATAAAAATAAAAAAGAGATAGTGGGAACAATCTTCACCATTTGAAATAAAATCCAAACTAGGTGTGTTTGTTTTGTCATAATCAATTTATTATTGCTTCAAATAGTATTGTTCTTCATGAATTCTTTGTCTTGCAGTTAACTTACTATTCCTTAACAATGTTCTTGTAAAATGATGAAGCTTTTTTCCAGTGCTTTAGACCTTTGGCCATACTGATTCTGTCGCAAGTTCTAATTTCTGTCTAATTTAGTTCAAGTCGCTATGTGGTTTTCCATCAATTAGCCATGGTTTAAAACCTAATCCACAAAGATGTAATTGATTACTGAGTTACATTGGTCTCATAAAAGTAGAAATAATAGTAGTGTAATTCATTCTCCACGTTCATATACTCGGCTGCCGAAACTTGAAGTAGATAGTATGGGTTTGGAATCAATGACCTATTGATTAGAAGCCGAGTCCCACATAAGTTAATTCTCTTAATTTCTCTTTTGTTTGAGACTAAACAGACTTATCGTACATACTTCTCCAGCGTGTACCTGAGAACTGGTTGATGCTTTCTAGATCTATAGTGTGTAATGAGTTAAAAGCCAACAGTTAGTGTATTTCTAACATCAGTGACTCGAATCGTTAGTGACTTTTTGAAATTAAGTCACTAATTTTAGTGATAGACAATTATATATTGCCCTTTGTCAACTATTTTTTGATTTAACCGATTATCGATTTTTTCATAAGCGTAGTAGTATGTTGTGGGTTTGAAGGGTAGTTTGTTTCCATAAAGGAGATATTTCGAAGCAAAAATAATTTTTGAATTAATTATATTAAAATAGGCATTTCATATTCCTTTTATTGATAAGTTGGGCGTTTCCCGTTTTTAGAAACTAGCCTCACACCAAACTTTTTTTACATAAACTTTCCAATCTTTGACAATTACATTCGCTCTTTTTACTAGAGTGATGAAATGAAGTGATCTCTCAGTTCGTTCTCTGCCGAAATGTGATGGGAGGTGATTAAAAAATAATCATGAGGATGTGGTTCATACTGTTTGTTTACTAGATTCCGCTTAAATTGGCTTACAATACCATGCTAATTTAGATGTAATAGATATCTTGCTCAGAAGCTAATACGCAAAGATTTTCTTGGTTTTTAGTTGTTCCTTCTTTAAAACTTATTTTTTCAAGTATGATGTGTGCAAAAACGAGTTCTTATTTTACTTTAGTGTGCTTTGTTCTTTTACCTTTTGATTAGAAAATCACATTTCTATTAACGTGGTTAGTTTTCTAACTTTTCTTTTCTCTAACAAAAGTCTACTGATTTCGCTTTATAAATATGATAATCATTTCACTGTGGTCACAATGCTCTACCTTTATTCGTGTAATCAAGCAGATTTACCATAGATAATTTGTGGGACGGATTGAATTCAGGACTGATGGTACGTTAACTTCTACATCTAGTCCTCATTGTCTTCTCATCTTCACTTTCATTGTCATCATCCGTCACTCACATTTTCCAATAAGTGTTGGTCACCAGTCTAGTTTAATGTTTGCTGTAAAATGTATACTCATTTCTTATCATGCATTGACATAGTTTACGACATCAGTCTTAACATTTTTATTCAGTAGTCTTAAATACGCTATGTACCACAATATTTTTTTAAAAATCTAAATATTTCAGTTACGTATATTTGTGTGATAGTTTTTCTGTTTGTTACTGTCGGAAAACAACTCTATGTACTAATAACAGAGAGAGTGATTACATATTTGTTAGTAACTAGTAGTAAAATCCAGGTCTTGTCGACTGGATGTACTCGTGTTCAAATCTCAATCAAAACACTTTCCTTTGCTGAAATGTTCAGTGAAAAGTTGTAACTTGTGGGAAATATGCTATCTGGATTCTATTGCTAAGTGTTTGATCCTGATGCCAACGTAATCAATGTTCAAGCATCCATTTAATAATTTCCAAGTTTCTTAATTAATTCAGTCTTGCTAATCAACTACTAAAGAGTATAAATACTTATGATAATGAAAGTTTGTAGTTTCAAAATATTTATAGATAAAGCCTCTTTTCTTTCCAATTACTGTACGGGATTTTTAGATGAAAAATATATTGAGTCTCCCACGGTAAGAATTGTTTTGTTCTTTAGCTTGATCGTCAATCTAAGTGACTAGAAATGAAGAAGGCAGCAGCGATAGATAACAATTAACAGTTACATAGACTCATCAAACAACATAGAGATACTTATCTATAATTTCCCATAACTTTATTCCATTAGTCGAGAGATCTTACGGTAGTCTGTTATTTTAAGACGTACTATTACGGGGCACATAAACCTTCTACAGCCTCTTTGCTCGGACACTGTTAATCAGATTGAAAATTGTGGCTATTTTTTGAACTGACTCTGTCAAGTGGTATTCATCAAGACAACCTATCTCATTTCTGTTTGGTTTTTTTTGTAGATATTTCCCAGTAGTGCTTTCTTTATCTGACTTTTTAGGGACTAACTTCCTGTCAGAAAATTCATTTGTCGATCTGGAATACATAAATGGAATCCTCTTGTTTCGTAAAGACTGACAAATGCAGAGTCTTCTATTCACTTTAAGTAACAACGAAAGCATGTTTTGAATCCGTTTCTCACCCTCCATGTGCTAAATATTTATCCAACATTGGTCTGTGTCTAGTTTAACAGTAGGGAGTGGAGAAGTGAAACGCGTTGATCGCTTTACTGATACTAGATGGAAAGGCTCATTCTATTTATGAGACTACGTTCCTTCATCGACGGGTTTGGCTATGACATTCAATATGAATGCCTTACCTCTGCTTAACCCGACATTTAATCATTGGCTTACAAAGAAGTAGGTTGAAGAAACTGGGAATGGTCAGATCAAGGTGTGACATCAATCCAATTAAACAGACGGTTGGTGTAATGGAACCAGTTATAAAGTCAGAATACTGAGTAAACTCTAGCTTCACCAAAGGTATACAATAAATAATAATTGTTACTCCTGCCAATTTTATTACAAGCACTAGATGTACAATTGAATAAAACCAATGTTAAAACACTAGTGTTATGTTATAGCAAAATAGATATATTTTTTAGTTTTACGAGACATTTCACCAGTAAAATCCACACTTACATCTTTAGATCTGCTACTACCTATTTCTTACAGCATCAACTTGATTTGCAGTTACAGACTCGACTACCCATGTCATCTTTCCATTTGTTCGTTGTTTAATTAAGGTGTCCCACTATATATAACATCTGATTGTTTCTAGGTTTTAGATCTCTAACAGTCTCTCGCCCCTGTTTAAGTGCTCATCTCACTTTGCATAAGCTATCGAGAATGGGAGGATTTTGCAGCATTAAATTGCATTAGCATCAGCGACCCGTGTACACTACCCTTTTAAGTATATCAACCGTTCTTCATTGGTTGAGGCATCCGACAGAGCTACTTCTAGTTCCCTTAAAAAAATGGTAATCAACAGTGTCCTCCATTAATACATTTAGTTACATGTTCTGGAAGTCCTGTTAAGCTGCTGGATTTGACGTGATTCCAACATCACAGTCATCAAATAGTCTGAAAATACAGGAGTTGATATATAATCGAACAAAAATTTCACTGTGTTATAGGGGAACGTTTTTTCACATAATTAAGTATCCATATATTCTGGTACTCTTAGAATATTAAAGCCCATACTTACCATGTTATTCTCATTGCTTTTTTAGGAAATAGATGGAGCTGCTTTATTGTGCCTTGAACAACACGATCTGATGCATGTATTAGGTATGAAACTGGGTCCTGCTGTAAAAGTATCTACTGCTATTCAAGCTTTACGTAAAAGCCTACTTGCAACGCCAATTTCAGAACTTGGTCCAGAGCATGCAAATGCAGTCGCTGCAGCTGTATCATGTTTTACTAACAGTTTGTCGTCACAGGTTGGTATCGGTTCATCTGTTACTAGTGATTCGCAATCTGTAGTGAACGGTTCCAGTGTAGACACTTCATCATCTAATACCGGGTGAAGCTATTCGTATAACACTAGTTCACTGTCGTTCAGTGATCAAAATGCACCCTCTCCTACATTCCTACACTTGTTGTTTGTTGAAAATCCATCCTAAACTTGTTTCACAAAGGGAAGAACGATAAAGAATTGACCGTTTCATATTTTTACTTTGGGCTTTCGGTTTTTTTTGCCTTTTCCACTGTTTATGTATCGTCTGCCTGTAAATGGTAGTAGTCCAATTATATCTCAGTCGATGTGTGTATGCTTAGTTTCACAAGAACCGTAATTCAGAATCATCTTCCTAGTTGATATTATTATTAATATTATTATTATCGCTATTGTCATTAGCGATTGAATTTCGCCATATTTACAATAGTGCCTTACAGTATAAAACCAACTGTCAAAATCTGCAGTTCGGATTCTGAAATAAATATATTTTGTCTAAAATTTCCCTTGATATATACATATATATTTTCCATTATGGGTTGCATACCGCAAAGTAAGAATCTTGTTTATCAATCTTTTCTATTGGGTAACTTATCATCTATTGTTTTGATATCATGACTAAAGATTGGATTTCATTTAATATTTTGTATAATTAATAATCCAACGTTTAACGTTGTACAATACTTTTTATGATCAACTACATCACTGTTCTTGTTAGTGTTATTATGATATTACCATTAAATTTGCTAATTGACTTCGTAGAACAAATCTGGCCTATTTTTAAATAACCCCTAGTAGTGTTTTTATTGACTATTTAGTGAATTTAAAAATTTCCGTAGTTGGATTTTGTGTACGAATATGTATCTTAGTGACCACTACTTTGAATGAATGTATTCTTGATAAATTATGATTGAATCTGTGACTTACGACACGTAGTTACGTGCAAGTGATTGTAAACAAAATGTATGTTATTTCGTACAATTTTTTATTGACGTTTTTTCTTAGTCATGATTGTTGGCTCTTTGACTTCTGGATAGAACTCCCCTCTATTTGCGGCGTTTTTTAGTCACCCACTTTTTTCTATCCTGAATAAAAAATGTTCAAGATATTCCAGAGAATTAACTAGACCCAAAAGTAGAATGTTGAAATATATTCGTGCAATTACTCAGGCCAGCGTATTTATGCATTCCTTCTGATTCTTTTGACATCTATGCAGGAAATAACGAGTGCACATTCTTCAAAATCTTTGTACCTGAAATACTTGTTCCTCATCCTATTACTATTATAACAATATCCTTTCCGAACAAGTAGCAATTTCTTCTCGATGATGTTTATCAAGTTTATTTACAAATATGGATCTTCTGAACCATACAAATGATGTTTTGATAATAAATGTTCGCTTTGGAATATGTTTCTTCTGAATTGTACTGGCGTTTATCACCTGAATTTTTTAAATTAAGAATATTAAGACAAGTTACAAATTTATAATCTTCAACAAGGCATATACAATTGCATCAACCAAAGTCACACTTTAGATCGACTGATCGAACAAAAATTAATGAAAATACGAACAAAATATTAAAGATAACGTAAATACTATTGGTAAACTAAACTCAATATATAGTTCTAATACTTTGAATGAGATCATTGTATGAAATTCCACCTTGATATGGAAGTTGGTCTTGCATATCGTGATAGCCAAGTCTATCCATATTGGCTAGAACATTCCTTTCTTTAAGCTCCAACCACCCCAGCCAGTTCGGTTGGAGAGCGGTAAGTTTTCACTAGCTGAGACTATAGGATCTTATGCTATTGATGTATACTCTCTCCGAAACACTCGTACAGAATCCTATTATGGTCATCCGCTTGACTTCACCTAACCAATATGGAGAGAGAAACAAATCATAACATTCGTTCATCTGGCGACGCAACACCCATTACTCAGGACTACACCGGTGTAGTTATGGCACTAAATTTGAAGTCAAGACAAGCACTTAACAAGATTTCGGTTGATAATCTCTTATATTCTATTGATCTCATAGGCACAGCAAGAACTCGAAAAGATCAGAACGCACTTCTGTCTCTTCGTCAACCGCAGATGGGTTGAAATAAAACATAAGTATTACAAGGAACTTCTTAAACTTCAAAAAGACGGGCTCGGATTTAGTAGACAATTTCAACGTCAAAGTCGGTAGTCTACTTCAAATTGAAAATACTTGAGTGGATCATACGGCGTTACTTACTTACGCCTGTTACTCCCATTGGACTCAAGCTGGACAACAAAGGCTAAATATGGGAGAGCTGCTGCTATACTCCGGCCACGAAGAGGAAAATGATCCACACACCCATAGAGTTACTCTAATGATGTCCAGAGTAGCACGAAACACACTTGTAGGATGGGAATCTCACGGATGCAGAATCATCAGAGCATCATTCAAAACAAAGAAGGAGGGGATCACAATGAATATTATTCAATGTTATGCACCCACCAATGATAGCAATGACGACATTAAAGACCAATTCTATGAGCGGCTGCAATCAATCATAGAGAAGTGCCCAAGAAAGGACCTCACCATTCTAATGGGAGGTATAAATGCCAAAGTCGGAATAGACGACACTGGATATGAAGATATTATGGGACGACATGGACTGGGAGAGAGAAACGAAAATGGAGAAAGATTTGCAAATCTGTATGTAGATGACCTGGCCCTCCTATCTCATACACATGAACAAATGCAGATAAAGACAGCCAGTGTAGCACCAATCTCTGCATCAGTTGGCCTCAGCATACACAAGGGGAAAACCAAGGTCCTCAAATTCAACACGGAGAACAGCAATCCAATCACTCTTGTTGACGAAACCCTGAAAGATGTAGAATCCTTCACATGCCTGGGAAGCATCATCGATGAACAAGGAGGATCAGACGCAGACGTAAAGGCGAGGATTGGCAAAGCAAGAGTCGCATTCCTACAATTGAAGAACATATGGAACTCAAAACAACTTTCAACCAATATCAAAGTGAGAATCTTCAATACGAATGTCAAGGCAGTTCTACTGTACGGAACTGAAACTTGGAGAACAGCTACAACCACCATCAAGAACGTACAAGTATTTATAAATAGCTGTCTACGCAAGATACTCAACACCCATTGGCTGGATACCATCAGCAACAGCCTTTTGTGGGAGAGAACAAACCAGCTTCCAGCTGAAAAGGAAATTAGGAAAAGACGATGGAAATGGATAGGACATACATTACGCAAATCATCAAACTGCATCACGAGGCAAGCCCTAACTTGGAATCCTGAAGGTAAGCGGAAAAGAGGAAGGCCAAAGAACACATTACGTTGGGAAACAGAAGCAGACATGAAAAAGATGAATAACAACTGGAGAGCTGGAGAGGATTGCCCAGGACAGGGTTGGATGGCGAATGCTGGTGAGCGGCCTATGCTCCTTCACGAGGAGTAACAGGCGTAAGTAAGTAAGTAACAGTAGGTTGTTGTTAATAGTGTCCGGCCAATGGATCTGAAGTATTTTGCGTAGACAATTGTTAATAAACACCTGTATTTTCTGGATGATGGATTTCGTAGTTCTCCAGGTTTCCGCCCCATACAGTAGAACTGTCTTGACATTTGTATTGAAAATCCTGACCTTTGTGTTGGTTGACAGTTGCTTTGAGTTCCAGATGTTCCTCAGTTGTAAATATGCTGCTCTTGCTTTGCCGATCCGCGCCTTCACATCTGCATCGGATCCACCCTGTTCGTCAATGATGCTGCCCAAATACGTAAAAGTTTTTACATCTTCCAAATCTTCTCCGTCAATTGTGATTCGATTGGTGCATGCTGTGTTTTGTTGGAGAATCCTGCTTTTCCCTTTGTGTATATTGAGACCTATTGCTACTGAGGCTGCTGCTACACTGGTCGTCTTCTCCTGCATTTGTTGTTGCGTTTGGGATAGAAGGGCCAGATCGTCTGCGAAGTCTAGATCATCCAACTGCATCTTAGATGTCCATTGTATCCCGTGTTGCCCTTCAGACGTTGACGTCTTCATGATCCAGTCGATCACCAGGAGAAAGAGAAAGGTTGATAGTAAGCAACCTTGCCTGACACCGGTCTTCACTTCGAACGACTTTGTCAATTGTCGTCCATGCACAATTTTGCAGTTTCATCCATCATATGAGTTCTGTATTATATTGACTATCTTCTGAGGTACGCCGTAGTGTCGAAGAAGTTTCCATAGTGTTGTTCTGTCCACGCTATCAAATGCCTTTTCATAGTTAATGAAGTTGATGTAGAGTGATGAATTCCATTCAATTGATTGTTCCACAATGATCCGTAGAGTTGCGATTTGGTCTGTACACGATCTATCCTTACGGAATCCTGCCTGTTGGTCACGAAGTTGTGCGTCTACGCAGTCCTTCATCCTGTTTAACAATACCCTGTTGAAGACTTTTCCCGGTGTTGAGCGAAGAGTGATGCCCCTGTAGTTATCACAGTTGCTGAGATCACCTTTCTTCGATATTTTGATCAGGAGTCCTTCTTTCCAGTCTTTTGGTACTTGTTCCTCATCCCAAATCTTATTGAAGAGAATGTGGAGTATCCTTGCAGTTGCCGCTACGTCTGCTTTTAGTGCTTCTGCTGGAATGTTGCCTGGTCCTGCTGCTTTGCCACTCTTGATTCGCCTGATGGCCATGCTGATTTCTTCAATTGTTGGTGGGCTTACATTGATTGGGAGGTCCGTGGGTGCTGCTTCGATGTTGGGTGGGTTCAGTGGGGCTGGTCGATTCAAGAGTTCTTTGAAGTGTTCTACCCACCTGTTTCGTTTTTCTTCAATATTGGTGATTACCTCGCCTTCCTTGATTTTCACTGGTCGTTCTGGTTTGCGGCGATGTCCAGACAGTTTCTTTGTCGTGTCATACAATTGTCTCATGTTTCCTTCTCTTGCAGCCTTTTCCGCCGTCGTTGCTAAATCTTCCACATATTTACGTCTGTCGGTTCTGATGCTCCTCTTCACTTGTTTGTTTACTTCTGTGTATTCAGCTTGTGCCTTGGCTTTCTCTGCTCTTGTTCGACTGGT